GGCTCCTCGTCGCTGGCCCCCTTCACACTGGGGCCTCTCGCACTACCGCCCCCTCACACCGGGGCTACACAACCCACTGGTTGCAAGTGGCAGGCGCACACAGTGCACTGCCACACACCTCCTCCCTTAAATGGGACTCTCCTCAATGCCCCCTCACACCGGGGCTACGCAACCCACTGGTTGCTCTCACCACTGCCCCCTCTCACTGGGGCCGCCCCCTCACTGGGGCCGGGGTCACCGTACCGCGCACGCAACCCACCGGTTGCAGTAACCTTTTCTTCCACCCTCCTCAAAAGACTTGAGCAGAACTCTCTATAAACTGAAATTTGCCAGGTATTACAGATTCATAGATGTTAGGGTCGGAAGGGACCTCAATAGATCGAGTCCGACCCCCTGCATAGGCAGGGAAGAGTGCTGGGTCTAGATGACCCCAGCTAGATGCCTATCTAACCTCCTCTTGAAGACCCCCAGGGTAGGGGAAAGCACCACCTCCCTTGGGAGCCCGTTCCAGACCTTGGCCACTCGAACTGTGCAGAAGTTCTTCCTAATGTCCAATCTAAATCTGCCCTCTGCTAGCTTGTGGCCATTATTTCTTGTAACCCCCGGGGGCGCCTTGGTGAATAAATACTCACCAATTCCCTTCTGTGCCCCCGTGATGAACTTATACGCAGCCACGAGATCGCCTCTCAACCTTCTCTTGCGGAGGCTGAAAAGGTCCAGGTTCTCTAGTCTCTCCTCGGAGGGCTTGGTCTGCAAGCCCTTAACCATACGAGCAAGCCCTTAACCATACGATTCTTATCTCAAATTTCTTAGGGCATTGTAAACTTAGGACTCAGAACACATCCCAATGAGGAGTTTCATGAAACAGTACTTAGGGCTCTTTAAACACGAGTAAATTCTCTTTCAGTTGCCTTCAGTGGCTAAACAGACTAGGACAACTCCCAGCTAACAAAAACGAAAGATGAAAGCAAAGCAAAAAGGGAAAATTAGATAGTTAAGATAACCAAGAAGCTTGCAAACTCTTCAGCTCTGACAGTCTCTCAAAGAATAGAAGCGAGAACTGCAGTGAAAGCATCCAGCAGAGACAGGCACAGTGCTTCTTGCAAGCATGCTTCTTGAGTGACTGGTTCTAGGGACTTAGCTACGAATGCTGTGGCTTCCTCTGCCCAAGATGATCAAGTCCAGGGGGTTGAAAACACCAGTCTTCTCTCAACTGCCTTTTTAATACCATAAATGAGGCTTCTTGGCCTTGTTTCCGGTAATTATGTTGTGCAGACTACGCTTACTCTGCCAGGAAGGACCTCCTTCCAAGTCCTCTGGACAAATCAAGTGCAAGGCCTGTCATGGAGGAATGAAATTTGGTCCAATCAGTTTTAAATGAGGTCATCTTTAGCTAGCCTCATCTTGGAGAATTCCCACTTGACTCAGCAATTTTTTTTAATATCCTGTATTTTGCCTACCATTAAGACTGTAACTCTGTGCCCCCAACCCAAAATTATAAAATGTCTGGGGTGATACAGGTGAAAACTTGGTCTTGACATGACATTGTGTCATCAGTTTGGGAATGGCCTGAACAAAAATCCTATGAAAATAATGAATTGCTCAGGTTCTCTCAACAACTACTCTCTCAACATTCATCAATCAGCAAAATTTAAAATTAAGCTCAAATAGCTTATGATCAATGCCATCATTCTTCTCACAAAGATGATAACTTACAATTATCTTTCTATTTTGAACCTGGTCTATCAGTCAAACTATTTATGTTCTGGACTCTTCATTTTGCTATAAAAATGTTCCTGTAAAACCTTTTGAGACAAAACTATGCAATCGATCCAGTAAAAGAAAATCGCCCACAAAAATCCTTTCCTTTAGTCATATTTTCCCTCATGGCAATACGAAAGGCTAAATTAATTACCTCTTGTATCCTATTGTTTGTTTCATATAATTATCTTTAAAAAAAAAAAAAGATGCATACTTAAATATCTGCCTGCTAAGAAAACTAAATGCAACTTACTGTTTGGATGTCCATTATGATCCCCGATCAATCCTTCTGGTCCGCACCTCTTCTTTCAGGCTATTCCTCACTGATATCCTCTTCAGAAGAGAGATGAATCCTGAAAGAAAAATGCACACTGCATTCAGTTTATAGCCACAGGACTGGAAATTTGGCATGTTTGGAGCCCGTAGCATTATTATTATTATTACAAATATATTCTGGAATTTGTGTTTTTGGCATAGCTGAAAGGTTTAGTTAAGAATGTATCTTTCTTTCAAATGTCAAGTTGGTTCAGCTTATTTAATTTGGAGTATTTCATCTACCGTTACAGTTCATATTCTTCTTGGCTTTGTCGACAGGAAAAGATGTGAGGGGTTTTGAGGGGAGGGACCAGGGGTTAATGTTAGCAAATAAGAGCCTTGTTACACATTACACTGTGAGCCACAGAAATGTTGATCAGTGTTAGTGCTAGCTCGGAGTTTGGAGCAGTCACACCCTTAGTCTAGAAACCTTCTCTGACTGTCCCCCACCTGCACAGCTGTGACTTGCCACTAGCAGCCTGGTGAGCAGGGGCAGAGCTAGAAGCCAAGAGCAGAACTAGAGGCAGCTACTAGGAGCTGTAGGTAGTTATTTTGGAACAGGTTTAATTAGACCAAATGAAGCTGCTCACACCACAGTAAGAGGACCCACTCCCTGAGCCAGAGCCCACAGGTGCTTATGAATTTTAGATCTGCCCTTATGTGCCTAACAATCAATTATAATAACACTTAAATCTTTGACCACACATTTCATCAGTAGATGTCAAAGTGCTTTGAGCTCAAGCGTCCTTGTTCCCATTTTCAGAAGGGGAAGCTGAGGCTGCTCCTGGTTGGGTTTTTTATGTACAAGCTGCCTCTGTTGTCATTTCACACCAATACGTTTTTCTCTGTGTGATAAACTCATCCTCTCTCACACATTCCAGCTGTGTTGCTCTGTCATAAACACAACATCCACTAAGGCCAGCTGCTCTTCAAAAGCATCAATTCCAAGCAAAACCACCATAAAAGAGGAGGGATTAAGGAATATGTGAAGTCCCTTTGGATCTGAGAGAGAGGATATATTATTTTCATAATGCCCCAAATCCTCACTGACCTAAATAGGCCTAAATTCATATCACAAACCCAGCTAACCAGCTTGGAGACCTGTTGCATAGCAATCCTAGACAAGTTCAATTTTACAGGTTACAGATTTTGACTGTGCATGTATGCACATGCATACAATCATGTCAGCACTAATTAAACTATGAGTAAACTGTCTAAATAAGAAAGGGAGGGCATGGACAGATGCAACATTTACACCCAAGCAATCAGCATTATCCCAGTGTAAAGGAGTTAACGCAAAAAACCTGAATCGGATGTAAACCTCAATTAGTGTGAGTTACACCATTTAGTTGGTGCTGTTTTGTCTCCAGCCCCAGGGGGGCTGGTTACTAAAAGCAAATAGGTTATCTGTTGTCCCAGCCACCAGCTGAGGATTTGGGATTGAGAGTATGGTTGGGGGTAGAAAGGTAAGAACGGTTTATTGACTTAACAAAAACACAACTACGCGTAATATACTAAGACAGATAACGATAATTTGCATCGGCAACTTATTGGCAGTCCCCTCTTGATGCCTGATGTACAACAAGTTTCTCTTCTGTAAAGCTCAGCAAAGTCAGGCATCCCCAATCAGCGCTGTCTGAGGGATACCTGGTATTCAATCCCTGGGCTCCTCGAGATCCATGGGCCCACTGATTCAGGTCAGCAGCTAATTGGTCCCTTTCACAAAGCTGCATCTTCCTTCTAAACGATTTCTGGATGTGCCAGCCAATTTATAACTTCTGAGCTACGCTGATAACTTACAGCCATTCAGATTCTTTTTACTTCAACTGTTCTTAGACTGACCAATAGCAGTACAAGCCTTGCATTCTTCTGAAAACGTTAATTTTAACTACGCCACAGGGCCTACCATCACTTCTGTAAGGCTTTGCTAAATTTACTAGGCCTTACTACATATTTGACTTTAATTAGGCTCTTAGCAATAACATATAGCTTAATATCTGAACAAATGACAGAAAAAACACTTGGTCTAATCTTCATAGAGCCTTCAGCAAGCACCTTTATCACACAGACATAATTTTCAGCTGTCACAATCTGTTCCCCTATCTCATATTGGTCAGTGCTATAGACACCAACAACTGCATGAGCTACCTCTAGATAGCTGCACATCTGTAACTCCTAATCCCAGTGCACTTTACATCCAGGCATGAAAACAATGGCAATTGCACTAGGGCAGAGAGACCCTGGTCCATGCCCTGAAAATAATTTATAGAAAGCCAGAAATCTAATGCCCTCAGTCAAGTAAAACAGTTGAAGAACACTTATAATACACAGGGAAACAGACGGCAATACCGCTTTACCTATTTGCCACCAACCTTAGGAAGTGGGGGTGATATAACATTTCCCATTGCTGATGTGAGGGCATACAAAAGTTATATTAGGCCCAAGTCATAAAAGGGGATTCTGAGCCACAGAGCACAAAACCGTTGTAATTTTTCAACTCTGTTCAGATGCATGCTAGGAAAACAGAACTTACAAGAAGTTTTTACTAGTCATTTCTCATGTTCAACACCTCTAGAAATCAAACCTGGAAAGATTTGTGTGTGTGATTCCATGAGAAATAATATTGTAAAGAAATCCCCAAGGAAGCTGTAAAGAAAGAGGAGAAGATATGAACTGCACCTATGGATATTCAAGCGATCAATACACACTACAAATTGCACAGCATAATTTTCTCATTGCAAACATCTGGAGGAACTTAGGACAGGAATTTTATAACAGCTTTAATTACCACTCTTCATGCTTTTCTGAGATTTATAATTTCAGTTCAGATCTGTTGTATTTTAATGAGTGCTTTCTCCAATTTGCACCAATGTTTCAGCAAGTTATTTCCATTATTTCTTGTTTTTGCTGCCTTAAAAATAGAAAAGAGGATCAAGAAGTTTTAACCCTTCAAGACATTAAATGGCAGGTCTCTAAGGACTGAATCCAAACCAAAATTCAGTTTGCTACAGACATTTTGCTGAGCTGGGTGAGCTTTGGATCAGCCCCTAAAACAGCAATTAGGACTCCAATCAAGCAAAACACTGAAGTTCATGCTTAACTTTAGGCATATAGCTAAGTTCCACTGACTTTGAAATAATTATGGTTTGTAGTAGGAATTAAGTACATCCAGAAATGGACAAAAGCATATACTGAAAATAAAGCATGTTCTTAAATACCTTGCAGAATTGGGTCCTATAGCTTGTTCAAGATGTCACTAATGGAAGTGGCCTGTAATTCAAGTCCATATCTTTGAAATTTAGCATCAAATCAATATGAAACAAACCACATTTTTTCAGATTAGTTACAAAACCATCCATCTAGTCAATCTGCCAAGTAACGTTCACACTGGGTAGTCTACACAAGACGCTTAATGTGCAGAAGACTAATTCTACTGTGCATTGGCATGGCTGGCAAAAACTGTGCTAATGCACAACAGATTTAGTCTAATGCGCATTGACGTCACCTAAAAAGCATTCATCTGTGCTAATGCACAGTAGCACCAATTACAGTGCATTAAGTTTAGTATCTGTTATTATAGGTACTAAACTTTATGCGCCATAATAACGGTGCATTAATGAACATGTAGATACTCCCTCTCAGTGTGGAAGAATAGCTAAAAAAACTATTCCACTTTCTCTGTGCAGTTCAATAACTTACCTAATATGCAGATATGCAGCTTTAAAGTCCCATCTTCACTTTCAAATCTTAAATATTGAAAAGAATTAGCATATTGGAGCTGCCTTCTGCTGTCAAGGATAGAACAGTCTCCTCTCCCACTGGCATCTCCCCTAGGATGGCCAAAGATCTTTGCTTCCAAAAATTAATTCTGCTGTTTTTCTCCCAAAACAATGCAGATGACTAATAAAGAAGGCAAGAGATGTTTGGCTGTAGGTCTCTGTTGGCAAACTACTAAAGATCAGCAAATTAAATAAAAATACTTCCCACTTAATGATATGCAGGGTAGCGTCATTGACCTGAGTTTCTCAAAGTGCTCTAGAGAATGAGTTTCTCAAAGTGCTCTAGGGGTTCTGCAGGGCTCGGTCCTCGGGCCTGCGCTGTTCAACATCTTCATCAGCAACTTGGACAAGGGGGTGAACAGCACCTTGTTCAAATTCACAAATGACACTAAGATGTGGGGGGAGGTGGGCACGCTAGAGGGGAAGGACAAACTGCACTCAGATCTGGACAGGTTACAGAGGTGGGCAGATGAGAATAGGATGGGCTTCAACACTGACAAGTGCAAGGTGCTGCACCTGGGGAGGAAGATCCAGCAGCATGCCTACAGGCTGGGGAACTCTCTTCTCGTCAGTGCAGAGGCAGAAAAGGATCTTGGAGTCATTATTGACTCAAAGATGAACATGGGCCACCAATGTGGGGATGCAGTCAGAAAGGCTAACCACACCTTGTCATGCATCCACAGATGCATCTCAAGCAGGTCCAAGGAGGTGATCCTTCCCCTCTATATGACACTGGTCAGGCCACAGTTGGAATACTGCGCCCAGTTCTGGGCGCCGCACTTCAGGAGGGATGTGGACAACATGGAGAGGGTCCAGAGGAGGGCCACTCCCATGGTCAGGGGGCAGCAGGGCAGGTCCTATGAGAATCTATGAGAACAGGATCTGAACCTGTTCAGCCTCCACAAGAGGAGGCTGAGAGGGGATCTGGTAGTCGTCTATAAACTGGCCAAGGGAGACCAGCAGGCAATGGGACAGTCCCTGTTCCCCCAAGCACTACCAGGAGTGACAAGAAACAACGGCCATAAGCTGACAGACAGCAGATTCAGGCTGGATATCAGGAGGTGCTACTTTACAGTCATGGCGGGTAGGGTGCTACTTTACAGTCATGGCGGCTAGGATCTGGAACCAACTTCCAAAGGAAGTGGTCCTCGCTCCTACTCTGGGGGTCTTTAAGAGGCGGCTAGACAGACACGTTGCCAAGGTCATCTGACCCAGCATTCTTTCCTGCCTGTAGCAGGGGGTCAGACTTGATGATTTGCTCAGGTCCCTTCCAACCCTACTAACTATGAAACTATGAGAAGTTAAATAACTATAGAGGTCTGACAATGAGGAAGCAGACTCAGGGTTGGAAGCCAGGTCTCCCAATTCCCAGTCCACTGTTTTTGACATGATCCAATACTGCCTCTTAATGGAATAAAACTGACCAGTCTGTATGGACCTAGCCTTGCTCCCAATGCAGGAAACCTGAAAGCAATTTTAAAAGGAGTAGGATTGAGCTCACTGTCTTTAATCCTTAAAGTATATCTGCCCTGCTCGCTGAACTTCCCAGCGCAGTTTCTGACTGTTGCCATTACTTCCATGTAGGATGGCTGCATGCCATCCTACATGGCAGATGAGAACAGGACACAGCACATAAGATGTCAAGTGTGATGTACTTTGAAATAGGAGAAACCAAACAACAACTGCGTACCAGAATGAACGCACACTGAAAATCCATCAAAGACAAAAATATCCAATTACCTGTGGGTGCACACTTCTCATAAGACAATCACTCCCTCTCCGATCTCTGTTCTAATCCTCACAGGGAACTTACAAAAACCCTTCCGTAGACGAGCCTACGAACTTCACTTCATAAATCTACTGGATACAAAAAATCATGGACTTAATATAGACACTGGATGTATGACACATTACAACTTGCCTGACATTTGACACACCAGGTACCTGCCTTAACCTTACCACTGGCACTCCTTCACACTTTTCCCTCCCACCCCCGCATCGCTATTCTTTGTCTTCCAACCTTCCACTCACTACATCTTCAGACTTCTTGTTTACTCCAGCTTCTTTTCTACCTTGGAAAACTCATAACAGCAGCAGAATTTCCCAGTGCCTAAAGAAGGGTGTTTGTGCCCAAAAGCTTACAAAGAACTTTTTCCCAACTATTTAGTTGGTCTAATACAAGATATCACATCTACCCAAAGAACCTTGCCTGCTTATGTACTTTGAAATGGGCCTTTAAATATTCCTGCCACCAGCACAAACTCCGCAGTTTTGATTAGCTTCATGGTATATCCATTCACTGAAAATATGTATTTTATATGGGTGACAGGAGTCAGTTCTATCAATGCCAGGTGTCTTATACCAATTATAAATCACTGTCCTTTTTTTCTTATATAGGTTGTTTTCTATATGATGTTCACAGGCCTCCAGGAATTAATACAGGTAGTCCTCGACTTATGGCATTTCGACTTATGGCAATTTGCACTTGCGGCTCTCCGCCATTTACACCCATGTTATTACTTATGGTGCTGGATCCTCACACTTACAGCACTACAAGGAAATTTAGTGAGCAAGACGACAGCAAAACAAACAGCCCTGGATCAGTTTCTCAAAAAGCCATCAAGTGGCCCTAAGCCTCCCCAAAATCTCCCCACAGAAGCCCTTCTGAATTCCATGACCCTGATGAATGTGTTCCTTTACCTTCTAATTAAATACAATTTTATGTGATTAGTTACTGTATTGCCCTGCTTAATCGATTTATATACATAACACTTTAGAAAGCTTTGTACTGTATAGTGTATATCATTTACAGTGGATTAAATAGTTGATTTAAATATGGTAATTTCTATAAAAAGTTAGGCATCAGGCCCTTGGTCAGGACCGTAACCTCCTATTATAATATTGTTTCTATGGGAAAATCAGACTCAACTGGCATCATTTCGAATTACAGCACCTTTTCCAGGAACATAACCTGCCGTAAGTGTGAGGACTGCCTGTACTATATTATTCATGATTAGGATATAATTCTTTTCATTACAATTGCCGTTGTTATGGAGGGAGCCTTGGCACGCCCAGGCAAATCTTCCTAGCAGGGCCCTTTTTATCACACTTATAATTAGCAATGGGAAAACATCCAAAGCCATTCTCTGTATTTTGTAGCCATCAAGACACTTCATCTTCTGTTATTTCCAGGCTTTAGAAACTTATCCTCTATGATTACAAACAGATGATGGCAGAGGATGGAATTAGATCTCAACAGAAGTGCATTCCAGTCAGCTGTGGGCTGCAGCAGCTTTTCAATGTTCATGTCAAATGCAGGGCAAGCCCTAGTGTTAAACCTTCTGCAGGAAAATAAGTCAAATTAGATTTTTAGATACAAGCTTTTAGTATACTTTATTACTTGCCCCTAGATAGCATGTGCTATACAATTTGCAACTCTGTGATTTTCAGAACTCCATAACAGACTTATGCCACTTAAAAAATATCAGTGCCACTATGCAAAATACCAAAAGACATAAGGAGCCCCACCATTGAAGTCACAAGAAAATCATGCCCCTTTCCGAATGCAGGAAGGCTTGTTGTTGTGCCAGTACAAATTTAGGAGCCTCTTTGAAAATGCAGCCCTCGAATGTTCAGTGTAACAAAAGGTAAGCAGAAAAAACAGCTGACATAAACTCAGCAAATTTCCCAGCATCTTACCCCAATTCTTACAGTCTAGCTCTCCAAGATGGACAGGTCTGACTTTGAACTAATGTGACTGTCCCTAAACCTTTTAGCTTAAAAAAGGTGTGGTGGAGATACAGCCAAGATATTTGAAGTTGTGGATGGGTATAAATTATTATCTGACCATTAGCTTTCATGATTGTTTAGGACCTTTCCAAATGAGCACAAACTGAGCTTTACAGCTATGGATTTCTCTCTCACCTTTGGGATCTCAGTTCGTACACAAGAGATAACCAACTTCATTTATTCTCAGGCAGCTCTAACCAGCTCAGATGAATGGGTCATCACAGCTCATTACTTAAGGGGGTATCATCCAAAATTCAAGTCAGCCTCAAATGGCAAGAGTTCAAAGCTACTGTTACTTCTTGATCTAAATGAATCAGCACCTGGTATATGAATCTGCCATGCACCATTTGAGCAATAGGGTCTGTACAGCCTTTACATAGGAATGAGCCTTCAGCACTCTCACAAAGGTTTTTGGATCCTTACTTCCCTTTATAGGCAGTAAAATGCATCTCCCACATTTACAAAACACCCATTTCTTCTACCAGAATGTACTCAGCCACAACTAATGATTCAGAACATCATCTCTAAATTAACACCTATACTCTTCCAAGGGCTTCAAGTCAAAGCAACGCAATTTATCCTGAAACAAGACATCATCATGCAAATTGCTTCCAGAATGTCTGTTTTTTTGCTTGTAGGCAGATCCAGGAAACAGGCACAGCTGAGCTCTAGGTGAAAAACCACCCAGAAGAGAAAGCATGATGCAAAAGTGGTAATTTTGTGACACGCACACAAATGGTACTCAGGGTACAATTATAGTAGCGCTCTTGGTCTCTTGCTCTTGTTCAAAGGAGTAATTACAAGTGGGGTTTTTGGAAGCATCTCAAAGCAGAGGCTGAGGCCACACATTTGGAAGGCTTGGATGCTATTCTTGGGGCTGCTTAATCAGAAGGAAATTGCAGAGACAGAGAAGGCCCCACTGAGGTTAAGGAGGGAGTGTG